AAAAAAAAAAAAAAAAAAAAAAAAAAAAAAAAGAAATAATGCAATTTGCAGCAACATGGATGCAACTAGAGATTATCATACTAAGTGAAGTAAGTCAGAAAGAGAAAGACAAATACCATATGATATCACTTATATGTGGAATCTGAAATATGGCACAAATGAACCAATCTACAAAACAGAAACAGACTCACAGACATAGAGAACAGACTTCTGGTTGACAAGGGGGAGGGGGGTGGGGGAGGGATGGATTGGGAATTTTGGGTTAGTAGGTGCAAACTATTACATATAGAATGGATAAACAAGGTCCTACTGTATAGCACAGAGAACTATATCCAATATCCTGAGATAAATCATAATGGAAAAGAACAGGAAAAAGAATGTGTGTGTGTATATATATATATAAAACTGAGTCACTTTGCTGTACAGCAGAAATTAATACAACATTGTAAATCAACTATACTTCACTTTTAAAAAAAGGATAATTTCTGAGTTTTTTATGTTGATTATAGGTTCCTAGAGGGTTCAGCGACACCATTTTGTCCTTTTACTTATTGATTAGGCTGTTTAGGAATGTTAGAAACTGTTGTCGAGTTTGCCCAATAGCTCCTTTTATGCTTCCTCTAGTCTCAAGATGACAGCTAGATTTTTCTGGCACACACAGTAAAGGTCACCTTTGGTAATGTTCCATTAAAACATGACTACAGGGCTTCCCTGGTGGGGCAGTGGTTAAGAATCCACCTGCCACTTCAGGGGACGTGGGTTTCAGCCCTGGTCTGGAAAGATCCCACATGCTGCAAAATCCCACGTGCCGCGGAGTAACTAAGCCTGTGCACCACAACTACTGAGCCCGTGCGCCTAGAGCCCATGCTCCGCAACATGAGAAGCCACTGCAATGAGAAGCCCGCGCACCGCAGCTAGAGAATGCCCACGTGCAGCAATGAAGACCCAATGCTGCCAAAAAGAAAGAAAAGAAAAAAGAAAAAAAAGTCGGGGTCTTCACATGAGCTTTGGGGAGAAAAAAACATGACTACAAAACTTTTAATACATAACAGGTAATAAGGTAGTATTTAGGAGTTCCTTCTAATTCATACCTTGTATTATTAAAGCTTAGCAAGACCTGAAAAAATTTTGGTTTTAGATATTCTCCTATATTATTTTTGAAAAGTAAAACTTCCCCTACTCCTCTTGAATTATAATAATAGTTTGTTAATCAAGCAGGTCCTTGAAACACAATACTTTGTTCTCTCGAATATTAGTGCTCCCCCTTTGATGTCTAAAATTGCCCTGGCCTCTCAGCATTTACCCTCCGATAGACACATTTAAACTTCAGCCTCCACACCAACCACTGTCATTACCATCTCAAATATCATAAACCTCAATGCTCCTTGAGTGACACTTCCACCTCACTCTCTTCTGGCTACTTCCAGCTGACGGATTAGTGACCTTAACCCGGGAGAGTCAGTGTGTTCAGAGTGAGAAGTGTACCTTAGGCACATGATTCATTTTCTAATGTAATGACTTCATTTCTATTACCCCAGAGGAATGCAGCAGGCGTATTGACATTTTGTCTACTGGCACCACAGAAAACAGTATGTTCTTGAACTAACACACCCTGGCTGGATTCTGATAGGGCCCTGAGATATTTATTAGGTAGTCAGAGCGACTAATAAGATCTTTGTAGACTTTAACCCAAATACACAGCACCCTTATAACACAGGTTGGTTTTAACTAGGGAAAAGTTAAACTACGGCTTAAAAAGTTTAACCAGGGCTTAGTGATTTTTTTCCCCCTTAATCTGAACTTCAGCGGCTAAGGGTCAACCAGGTAGCAGTCTGGCTTTCCTGGAACAAGTTTGTAACCTTACTTAAAGTTTGGTTGATGAGTTATGCAAGAAGCCAAATCTTTGAGAGCTCTCATGTATTCTGCACAGACATATAAGGAGTTTCCACAATCAGGGGCCCCCCAAAGGAGGAAATGTCCTGGGGTGTATAAAAGCTTGAGACATGAAGTGTGAGAAATTTCTCTCTTGCCACCTGATCCCAGTTGGAAATTCACTGGCTAACTGTGTCACTGACAGAACAAAACAGAGGATAATAGCCTCTGGCTGAAGATTTTAAAATCGAAGCTGAGACAGAGTGGGCCATGTACATGTTTAGAACAGTGACTGCATTGTGAATTACAACAGAGGTCCCACTTATCAGTCACACAAACGTTTAAGACCACAGAAAGGCATCTGATTTGAGACAGGGATGACAGAATGGATCTTTTGGTTTTCCCCACTTTGCCCTGAATACAAAAGGACTGATGATGGCTTTGTTCTGGGATAAAGTCTTACATTCCTTTTGGGACCTACCCAATCATTAATAGAGAAAGAAAATTCCTGTCTGGAATCACTCCTACCATTTTCTAAAAGAAGTAACCTTTAGTCCTCATCACTCAATAGGGAAAGAAAGCAATATAAATGATGTCACACCAGATATTTTGCTTTGCTGGCTAATCACTTTTCCTCATTTATCTTTTGTGACTGCCTCAACGTTAAACAATTGTAGTAAACAGTATTAAGAAACAGGGCTCTAATTTGACAATATATGTCAACATTTAAAGTGTTTCTACCCTTTGAATCAGGAATTACACTTTTAAGAATTTAATAGCTAAATTGACAGATGTGTCCAAAGAGTGAAAACGACGTAAAAGTTCATCGACAGGGAATTGATTAAGTAAATTACTGTACATTTACACAAGGAAATGAGGTGTAAGTTGAAAGTCTAGTTCCAGTCCTTGTCACGAACCCTGGAACTCTGAAGTTTTTACAGTCTTTCATTGATCTAATGCTTAATTAGTTGCTATCCTCATATAAGGAGGTTACAAATAATAGACAGTGAGGGATTGAAGAGTTGGGTGCTTTTCCTTTGGCTCTTATTGGTAGTAAACAAACATTAACAACACTGATGGGAGAAGGAAGTAAGGAATCTTGACTAATTCTGGACCTTCTCTAAACAGCTCAATGGTCATCTTAGCCTGTCTTCTAGGATGTACCAATGCCTCTTGGGTATACAACATCTATCAGGTCAAGAAGAGTCCCACACTCATTCCTCTAATGGCTAGAGGTTTATACCCATTTAATCACAATACATAAAAATGGTTAAAGTGAACATTTTCATCTCTTATTTATGAGTTCTTTAGCCACAGAGTCTAAAAAACTCTTGGAAAACAGATAGAAGAACACCATTTAATCCCACTGTTGACATGCTGAAAAGAGAAAATCAACCATTATGTTAGAAATAAGTCTCTGGTGGCAGGTGGCATGGTAATTGTAAAATTTTGTGGCACAAAGTTCTAATTGTACAATGGAGTCAACCAGTGTTGGGGAAAAACAGCAGAAAAGCTTTTTAAACATACCTTTCTTTTATAATTTCTCGATGAATTATGAACTTAATTGCCTTCCTCATAAATTGTGAGCGACTTGAGTTCAAGGTTGTCTGTCATTTTTGTATCCTCATTACCAGGCACAGCACCTGATACATAATGGGTACTTTATAGTCTTCAAATTGAATTAAAAAACAAAAGTCTGAAAAAAATTAAGACAGTAGTTCTTAAAATTTTCTGATTAATGCTAGGGATCCTTTCCCCAGAAAAGTTGCACTTATCCATGTACACAAAAATTTCAACATAATTTCAGGGCAGTCATGGACATCTGTTCTCTTCCTCCTTTCGTAGATCTTCTAGGGAACCAGGGCTTTGACATTAAGAAATTCCGAGGTTTAGAACATAATTACAGAGAGAAGTGGAGGAATCTTTAGAAACACTCCCCACTCCTTAATTTTTCTTTTACAAAATGCATGTTTCTTCCATCTACTTCACACAGGAACTTTTTCAGTATACTAAGGAAAAGAGCCTCTTCTTGTGGAAGGTGTAAAAAGAATCTATGTAGTTTTAGATTCACTTGTAAATTAGGTATTTTGCAGTAGAAAAATGTATCCTTATATCAAAAAGTAATCTTAAAGAAGGTATGTTTACTTAACAAACATTTATGGCCTATTCCCTATGAGCCAAGGACTGTGGAGGACAGGGGATAGAAATAATGACCCAAAGAGATGGCAATGTGGTGGAATGCATGCATAATAAACTGGATATTTGAGTTAGATTTTTGCCTCTGTGTATGTGTGTGACGAAGATGGCAGTGGGTGGAAAGCACAGAGAGCAACTGTAAATTCTCTAAAAGGGAGAAAAAGAACCTTATTCATTCTGTGAGAGCTTTTGGTTTTCTTACGGTCAAATACGGCTCTTAACCTCCCATTCTCAGTTACCAGATTACCCACCAGAAAACTGATAATAATGTCTGGATAAACACTGGCTGATCATGAATGAGGAATAAGGCAATGCTTAAACTACATCCCTATAGTATAAAGGAGCTGCAATCATCTAAATGCCATTTCTAAGATCCAGCATTGTAAACATTTCTTTCACCTGAGTGATGTTTTTCTGATGATTATTTGTTGCATCTTAAACTTTGGAGGAGACCTCAAAGCTGATCTGGTATGAACATCTACTCAAAGGAGGAATTCCCTCTTTAACACTCCTGGCGGCCACAGGCTTTGTTTGAACACTCATTAATAGCAGCGGAATGTATTTGTAATCAACAATAATTATTAGAAACTGCTTCCTCATACTGAGCTAAAGTCTCCTTATATTTTCCAACCATTTCTCTAAAGCTTTGGCGCTTGAAACAGTGAAGAATAACTCTATTCTCTCTTCCCTATTCTTCAAGTATTTGAAAACAGTTATCATTTGTATGTCTGAATTCATCTCCAGATTGAATTTCCCTAATTCTTTCATGTATTGCTCTTGAGAAGTGTTTTCTAATCACCCTCCTTTTCCTACTCTTCCAAACATGGTAATACTTGGCCAAAGTCTGATTAAAATGCAACACCTCAATTAGAACACGATATTCTAGCCGTGATTGATCTTAACACATCGGAGTCCAGTGGGACTTTTCTTTTGATCTGGACACATTCTTCCATCAACCCACTTTTACAAGGCTTTAGTTCTCGCCTCCTGTCCTCTCCCAAGGTGTGCAGTACTGTGAGCTTATACTAGAACTTAGTCAAATAAAAATTTTAGTTTTTTTTTTTTTTCTTGAGTATACCACTATCAAGTCAGGTTTCCCCTCCTATCACCTTGGCAATGTAATGGGTCCAATTTCATCTTAAATTTGTCTCAGCACTGAAATAGTTTCAAATGTCATCATATGTAATCATTCCAGCTCTGTTATCTGTAAATTTGATAATACCTTCTATAGGATGCTTTATGTCTTCATACAAAGGACTGGAAATTTCCCTCAGTGCAATGTGAATCATTATTCAGCTCGTTCAGGTTGTTTCAATAGCTGGAAATCCAGCTGGCTAAAGATTATCCTGTCATATCCTTCATCTTAGCCTTAAAGACATCCATCTAGATGTCAAGTGTCTTGTTGGATTCAGTGAACACCATACCTTTAAACCATTCTAAGCCATACAGTGTCTCTGACAACAAATGCTAGTGACATTTTATCATGGCAGTAAAATTTCAGGTGAGCCCCCAAGCTGTATGCAATAAGCAGCTAGAATGGGTTTCAGCTCATATGGGCAGAAACAAGAGAGCCTGGGTCATATTTACCTCTCCCCTTGTACATACATAGTGGACCAGATGCACTGGACCTATATTTTATCAGGAAAGGGAACTACAAGGTAAATGCAGTGAAATAAAAACTCAAGAATCATTCACTGGAGAGGGGTGTTTGAAGGGTTGTTGTGTTCATTACCCCAATTTTTCAAAAAAAATTTTAACAAGTATGCATTTATATAGCATTATTGTGGGTATGTTGGAAAAGGCTACCTTAACCTAGTACTTAGATTTTATAACCTTTACCCTTTGCCTTGATACAGTTGGTACTAGATAATCACTTAGGTGGATTTGTTTCTAGTGGAAATTTCTCCATTAAAAATAAACTGAAAAAGTAAACTTCAGACATTGACTGCTTTTCAAAGAAAATGAAAGCATGTATGTCTTTTTTGCTTTTATTCTCATCAAGTGTTCATAAGAGAAGGCATATTCAATTTTGAAGGGCTATCCAGTTTCAGATGAGAGACATAACTGTAATAATGTTGTGTTGAGGGAAGAAAGAAACCTTGGTCATTGCATCTAGTCAGATGGGACAGGGTTTCTCTTTTAACACTCTTTGGGGATCAGCTAACTATGCCGAAACCCAATTTGGGGGATTAGTATTTTAATTAAATTTTCTTCAAGCATGAAAAATTCTTCTTTTAAATGACAGAAAAGGAAAAAATTAAAAATGGTCATAAACAAACCAGCAGATTCACTGGGGAGGCAGGATCACTATACACCTTAATTCCTACACAAAGGCTAAAGGCAAAATGGTAAAGTAGAAAGTTAAGTCATTCACTACTAATTAAGGTAAATTCCCTACAAATAAAAAATCATGGTATCAAAAACTTTTAAGAGCTGTTTTCTGCTATTTTTTTTGATTTTGGTCTCTTACACAATGCTGTTTGTCAGGTGTAAAGAGCTACCCTTCATCATAGTAGTTTAGAAAGGCAAGATTTTGGTGTAAATACTCTTCAAGAGAATTTTTGGTTCTTTATCTAGGTAACATGCAACATCTGTACTAGAGGAAAAAAAATCTATATTAGGTGGCATTACATTAGGACTTTTCTTTCTCTTCTCTGTAGCATCTTAAAATTAAACCTTTAGGAACCAAGCCTACCACACCTAAGATGTTTAAGAACTTGCCCTCAGTGAAATGACAACTGTCCTAAAACCTGAAACAGGCCCAAATCTTCTGGATCATTAAACAAGGAGACTTTATTATGTGTCAGTCCATAAATCTAAAGTGTAGGTTGGTGAATTACAATTTTTATAGTTTTCCACCATTCGGAATACTCACCGACACTCTATGTTCTGATCTAGGAAAAAAAGAAGCAGATGGATGGCCACATTCAAAAAGGCTTTAAAAAATATGTCCTTAGTTTTGAACTATGTTAGAGAATATTTCTTGATGAATATTTGATTTTATTGCTGTTCTTTGGTAGATTTTATTTTTAAAGATTTTTTTACTTTTTTATTGAAGTATAGTTCATTTACAATGTTGTGTTAATTTCTGCTGTATAGCAAAATGATTCAGTTATATATATATATATTCTTTTTTTTAATATTCTTTTCCATTATGGTTTATCATAGGATATTGAATATAGTTCTCTATGCTATACAGTAGGACTTTGTTGTTTATCCATTCTATATATAAAAGCTTACATCTGCTAACCCCAACTTCTCACTCCACCCCTCCCCCAACCCCCTCCCCCTTGGCAACCACCAGTCTGTTCTCTATGTCGGTGATTCTGTTTCTGTTTCATAGGTTCATTTATGTCATATTTTAGATTCCACCTATAAGTCATATTATGTGGTATTTGTCTTTGTCTTTCTGACTTACTTCACTTACTATGATAATCTCTAGTTGCATCCATGTTGCTGCAAATGGCATTATTTCGTTCTTTTTTATGGCTGAGTAGTATTCCATTGTATATATGTACCACATCTTCTTTATCCATTCATCTGTTGATGGACATTATGTTCTTCGGTAGATTCTAAATACTGGATGTGAACCCTAAATAAAAAGAACACCACAGCACTTTTGTTTTCATATGCATTTCAGTTTTAACATTAAAGTATGAAAGAAATGTGAGTTCATTCTCATGGATAATAATGTAATTTTATTGTGTGCAGCCTTTTTCACACCAAGTATTAGTTTTTCCATGTGAAATAAGTTAAGATTTAAAATGATAAAGTTATTGTTAAGGAGATGCATTGGGCGATAGAAAAAAGCTGAAGAGAGTTTTTGCCTGAAACTGGAAGACAGAACAGTCCGGAAAAAAACAAATGTGAGAAAAGTATCATACATTGCTCAGACCAACCCCCCCCCCCCAAAAAAAAAAAAAACCCAGCTTCACGGACCTGAGGTGGTGATGCTGAACAAATGTCAGGGAGAGAGGGCCAGGCAATTGTCTCAGAAGGGAGGGTGGGATTTCCTTGATGTTAAGGGTATTTGCTTGACAATAATAATCTGAATTTTCTTCTGTGTCTCTATAGCTCTTGATTTTTCCTGCTGTCTACAGTTTGACTATGCAGCATAATATTTTTTTTTTTTATTTAGCACAAAGTCCATTTGGACTAGAGAACGGAAAGGTTCTAATTTTGTTCCTGGCCAGCAAAGTCATACCTCAGGTACACACTGGACAACAATTAGAAGTCCTGTGAAGAATGCATACATTCAAAATTAGTTTTTTTTAATTAAAAAAAAAATTATCCTGTTTTGGTTTCTTCATTGAGTAGACTCCTAGAGGAAAAACAAGTACGTGAGTTTCCTGGTCTGCTGAAGAATTGGAATTTAGGCCCACGGTAAAGAGAATTAAAGTGATCCAAAGGTTCACTTACAATCACCAGACAAAATAAGCCATGGAAGAGCCTCCTTGCCATGGCAGAGCTGAAGCGCACATAACACTTGGGGCAGCCGTCCTCAAACACTTCTGTGCAGAACCCACTCCTCTCCTGGAGTTTCTGGACCCTTTATGCTCCATATCAGCTTCAGCTTTCTTCCTGTGGCACTCGGGATAGACCTTGTGACATGTCTACCTGCCACTTCGGGTGAGGGGTACAGTAAAGGAGGCAAAGTCCCTACCACTTATTAGAAACATGAGAAGAGAAAAATGTCCTTGGACTTGCTTTAGTGTTCTAATTGGCAAATATGCAGAAAGGCTGACACTCTTGTACGCTGAAGTGGAAATGAACCTCTAATCCAAGATCCAAAATTCTCTAACACAAGATATTAAAACCTGCAATATGCATTAAGTAATTTCAGCTAAAACTCATAATTTTCTGGTGTTCTCTGACTGGACGTTAGACAGAAAAGACTAAACCAACTGGAGCAACATTATTCAAGAGTGGCAGAAAGTTAGAAATCATGAGGCCTGAAATACAGATAAATGCATTACTGAGGCATATTCCCCTGGCCCTGAGATACGCAGGCAAAGAGGTGAGTCACACTTTACTGGGAGACAGAGTCAAAGTGGATGCAAGGCTCTGAGGCAATATTTAACAGAGGAACGTGGTGATTCATTTATCAGTTCAGAAATCCCAAGTACAAAACTTCAAGATATAAGAAGGATCAAAGTATATAATGTATATGATTCAATTTAAAAATTCTTAATTATAATAGTAATCTAGATTACAACAGTAAAAAAATCAAATTACATTCATATGAAACTTTTATAAAACGAAACCAAATCCATTTTTATGAAATTTTATAGTACAATTATTTTCTAATGGGTCTTTTTCTTAGGTCACCGTATTTATAATTCCATTTACATCTGTATAATTTTTGAAATCAAAAAACAAAAGGAAGTCAATAGAAATCTACATTTTCATTTGCAAAACTCCCTTCAGTTTCCAGGCCAGTAATACAAGATGATGTCAGCTTGTCCTCCAGACATGGACTGCTCCCAAAGATCCCCAGTTTACGGAGCATGCAGGCCTCTACTCATTAGGAACGCTTTTTGGTTTGGCTCTCGTTTCAAGAAATTCTGGAGCATGTCCATGCCGTCCATAGATCCCCCAGGTTTCAGGATTAGGTTTCTGTATTTCATTCCAACCTGATAAAATAAAACACGCCTAATAATTCATGGTTATAGCAATTTCCCAAATCTCTCGATACGAAAGAGAAGAGAAAAAGGGACTTCAGCTTTGTCTGGATGTTCTCCCTCATAGACTGCAGCTCTGCATTATTTATTTACTTCGGTAGCTAAGAGATCTGGAGCTTAGACCTCAGTCTTCCGCACTCCCCTTTATTGCTGTCTTGTCTCCTTAGACTCTCAGCAGCATGTTGACTATGTGAGCAAACAGACAAACGAAAAATAGCCAAATGGAAGACAGAACAGGCTCCTATTTGCCATCCCATCCCAAATGCGATTTCAAAAGGGTTAGTAAAGCAAGTGTTCAATTAGGCTACAAATAGGGGTTCAGTATACTTGGAAACAGTAGCCCAGCTACTGTCAAAATGGCTTCTGCTATATTTTTATGAGGGGCTCATTAAAAAAACCCTTTTTACTTATGGGGTAAGGCAACAGCACATGTCCCGTGGTATAGGGTAGGACATTTCTGTGGGCCCAGCATGGGGAAGGAGGACCTTTGCAAAGTTTTCTTTGGGGACAAGGTCTGGAATTTTAAAACACATCATAGTTCCTCTGCCTTTATTTACACACATACATGAGCAGATAAAGCAAACAACTGTAATTCAGTATCAGCATTATTCAATATTTTCACTTCCTTTTCACCGTCCTTTTAGGAAAGAAAGACAAGACAATTCAGTGAAGCCTAATTCTAAATCTACGCATAAAATAGTTCACAGAGTAACACTCAAATTTATATCCATTATATCATTTGAACAGTCATTAATAGTCTCTCCAAGTACATAAATAGCTTGAGAATTTCTGGAGACAAAAGTAATCTCATTTTTGACTTATGACAATGATTCTGCTTGGTACAACCATCAGAGATAAGTCTAGTCAAACTGTTAAAGAAAATAAAATGTTGATGAATGAAATCCACCAGGTTAGATACAAAACTACTTAATGTTTTACAAGGGTCATGAAATCAAAACTTTCCGGGTTATCTTTCAGTTATAAACAGAAATAATCTTCAACTTATTAATGATCTACAGGCGAAGAGCTAACTTCACCGATGGGCCTTCATCAGGAGTAAACAATTAGTCAAAGTTACTTCCTATAAACTCTAGAGAGCACTGTCCAGTACAAATATAATGTGGTCCATATATAGCTTTAAATGTTCTAGTAATTGCATTAAAAAAGGGAGGAAAATAGGTAAAATTAATTTTAATAAAATATTTTATTTAAACCAGTATATCTATAATGTTATCATTTCAACATGTATCAATATAGGCTGCTATTGAGATTTATTTTTTATGTCTTCAAAATCTAGTGTGTTTTTTACATTTACAGCACATCTCAATTCAATTCTTCAGTAGCACTGGCCACATTTCAATGGCTCAGTAGCTACATGTGGCTATTATACAGGTCTGGGGCCTAGCAAGTAGCAATCTTGTTGCCTTATTTACAAGCTTTGAGTAAATTTTCTTAAAAAGTGCGGGCCTGTAATCACTGATATTGGACTTCCTGAAAACCCTGGTAATGACAGTTTAGAGCTAGATCTAATTTTGTTTAGGAAGAAAAAAAAAGATGTGTCATTTCTTGCTTGGTCTGCATCAATTAATTACTGTTAGAGTAGCGATCTAGAACCTAAAATATGAGTGATGGCTATTCTCATCATGGACTTTATTATTCTAAGAAGTAGCAGATCAGAGCTCTTGAGCCCAACACAGCTTACCCCACTTCCCTTTCTTTCAATCCCCAATGTGTCTAAATTTGACCAGTGTTAGATTAGTGGGTGGGGCAAGGAAGGGCAGTTATCTCTGGACAAAGCAGTATAGGAAGAACTTAGAAAATGTGAATTAAATTGATCTGAATGATAAAAATATTTTAAACCACTTATTACGGAAAAATTTTGAATATATACTAATAGTAGAGAGAACAGTATAGTGAACCCTCTTGTACCTATCATGTAACCTCAATTATTAATATTTACCTGCAGAAATTCTTAATGCTCAAGATCTGAGAGTCTTTTATTTAGTAAAAAGACATATTTCATTGCACAAATATTATAGGAACAGTAATGAAAATTTAAATAAAGTAAAAAAAATGATCACCAAAATGTGGACATCTGCCAGAATATTCTCATTTTGTACAGAGAGCTGTAAATGTTGGTAGTAAAGAAAAGCAAGCGTTAGAGGAGCTGCACGTTGCTGTGAAGAGCCAGCTCATGCCTCCTCTGCCGTAAAGTCACTGTGGAGCAGGGCACTGTTTGGTCTCACAATATGTGGCTCAGGGCAGTGCAAGTCCTCCCCTGTTTATAGCTCCAAACAAGTTAATTCAATTTCCTGAATTACAGAGCAATTGTCTTTTAATAGTTTCATTTCCTTTGCAATGAAGTTTGGAGAAGAGTTTAAGAGTCATTTTGGTAATCGGATCTTGCTTTTCTTTAAAAAAAAAAAAAAAGTTAAGCAAATTTGTGTGTTAGGAAGGTACCGGCTTCTCTGGGTGAGAGAACACTGTTTGGGAGACATATGCCACAGGTGGAAGGAGTCTTTACTGTGAATTTTTCTACTCTGTTTATATAATTAAGGAACTGTAACTGTGAGCAAAGCAGGAAGAGAAGCTCTAAGGCAACCACTACAAGTTTTCATGCTAAAAAAATTGTTCAGGGGGATCTGCATAGCGTAGGAGCTCCTATTAGTTCAGGGAAGGAAAATCAGCATCAGTCACTTCTGTGGTTTTTACTCCTGGAAGGTTAACATGTGTCTTTTGGCAACTGTGCAAGTCCTCTCTAACACTGATGTCTTCTTTCCTTCTTTTCTTTATCTATTTATTTATTTTTATCTATTTATTTTTAAAACTTTATTTATTTTTGGCTGCGTTGGGTCTTTGTTGCTGCACGCCGGATTTCTCTAGTTGCGGCGAGCGGAGGCTACTCTTCGTTGCGGTGTGCGGGCTTCTCCTTGCGGTGGCTTCTCTTGTTTCGGAGCATGGGCTCAAGGTGTGCAGGCTTCAGTAGTTGTGGCATGTGGGTTCAGTAGCTGTGGCTCACGGGCTCTAGAGCGCAGGCTCAGTAGTTGTGGCGCATGGGCTTAGCTGCTCCGCGGCATGTGGGATCTTCCCAGACCAGGGCTCAAACCTGTGTCTCTTGCATTGGCAGGAGGATTCTTAACCACTGTGCCACCACGGAAGTACCTCTTTTTCTTTCTTTAAAAATGTTCAGATGATTGATTGATTGATTGCCATGCCATGCAGCAATGTGGGGTCTTAGTTCCCTGACCAGGGATCGAACCTGTGCCCCCTGCAGTGGAAGCATGGAGTCCTAACCACTGGACTGCCAGGGAATTCCCCAACACTGATGTTTTCTAAAGCAGGATCAGGAGTTTTGGAGTCAGGCCCAGGTTTGAATCTCGGCTTCATTATCAGCTATGTGGCCTTGGGCCTTGGTTTCCTTATCTGTAAAGTGGGAACATGCCTACCTCCCTCAGTGTATGAGGAATTAGAGGAGATGATTTTAGTACCTTGCCTGCTGCCTAGAATCATTCCTGCCATATGCTGGTATTCAATAAACCTGAGTAGTCATCCATCCCTCCTTTCATTTCCCTTCTCCTCACACCGCCCCTAAGTTCAGTCACTTATACACAGCCAGGGAAACAAATGCATTCCTGTTTTCAGCATTTCCTTAAAATTAGTTCTGTCTCCTAATAAAGCTAGAAAAAAGCACAAGAGATTTCATCTCCACTATTAGTATAAAATAGAATATATAGTTCAGTAGGAATACTAAGAAGAGACAAGGCACTCATTTTATGCAAGAATCTATGCCCTTTATTTGAGGTAATATTTTAAGAGCAATCATAATTATCCGAATGAAGGACACCCATCATCTACCAACAATGAGAACACATAAATTGGGAAACAGATTGGGTCTCCTGCCATCTCTGGCTTCTCTGAAGGAGCACATGCAAGCTCCCACAGCCTTCCAACCCTCCCTTCTTTCTCCTTCCTCTTGTGACAGACTATAGGGAGTGGAGCCAGGTATCTCCTTCCGATGCTGAGTAACAGGCAACAGGGCAGAAAGCATCCGCCCAAGGACAGGTGATGACGATCAGGTATCTCCCAGCCTCACCAGCCCGCTTTTAAAGTGGACTTTGAAACCTTTCCTTCCGCAACTCATCTGTAAACTTTCCAACAGCACATACTTTGTTTTTTTATGAGAGACGGTGGGGAGGTTGAGGGCAGAAAAAGAATACCTTTGACAACAAACAGGAAGGAGGGAGAGAGTGAAAGATTGGTGGTGACGGAAACAAAGAATGGTGGTAGGAATCTTCCCTTGTGTGAAAGAGGTCTTCTGGAAACCTTAAGCGAAGTTTCAATTTGTGAGGATGGAAGAATAAATAACTATGGGGAGGGAGGAGATCTGGACAAAAAAGGAAGGGAAGTCGTGTGTAGTAGGGGGACAGAAGAGTGGAAGCAGTTGGAGCAACTACCAGTTGGGCCCAATAATAGTTAAATGTTCTGAAGCAGAGGACGAACACCAAGATGAACAAAACAGTTCCTATTACAAGAGCCTTATGATCTAGGAGGTGAGATAAAGAAATAGACAATTAACAAAGCAGATTATTAGAGCTCTAAGAGAAACACAAAGAAGGGCTGTAGGAACACAAAAAGGAAGAAAAACTGCTTCCAGCTGGTTGGGATTCAAGGCTTAGAAGGTCTGGCATTGTAAATATTCAAGAAGTAGGTTGGAAATCAATCCCATTTCCTTCCTTTGTCCCTTAAATCAGGCAAAATTTAATGCTGTTAGAAAAGGTTGAAGTGTAAGAAAAATCAGCTTTGGGGTGGTAGATCGGGGAAGCTGAAGCAGAATTTAATCCATTTGTAAGGACTGTCAGGAGAGGAATTTCATATTCTCTCTTAGCAACATATTATAGCAGGAACTGGTCCTAGGATTCTGTTTGAAGGGTCCTGGAATACTTAGCTTTATA